CTGCCATACACACTCAGGTACTGGGGCCACAGGGATGGATTAACAGTAACTGCCATGCTTGCTCCCCACTGCTATACCTGATTGGAGGAAACAAAACAAGGCAAGAAAGTTGTGTGTACAGGATCCTAAGACTCTTGCCATCCATGTGGACCACTTGGTACCACTGAACAACTTTCTACTGATGCTATTTCTTCTTATAAATTGCGCTTCTAATTCTTGATGCCAGCTACACATTGTCCCTCCTTTTGTGCCAAGATTGGCATGTGTCTTAGAAATGCCTCCATACAACTACGGAAAACAGACTTCAAATTACAATTTAGTGATAAAAATGTTGGCACCAAATGAATTTATTTGATGGGGATAGTGAGTGCTAGGCCCATTTCCCATGGAGGTAATAAGCAAAACGGACATGTTGCTGTCTAATGCAATCTGTGGGTAACTATCTAGTGGACAAAAGCCACCACTAGGAGGTATGATTTTGGACATTGATACTGGCTATACAGTAATCAAATCCCATTGTCTGAAGATGTAAGAACCCTTCACTTTGCCTAATAACCATCAGTAAATTCTTTTCCTGATTTAACTGACCAAGTAGGTTGATGCTCTTGAAGCTAAGACAAGTAATGAAGTGCTCTGGAAAGGAACCCTTCACTTTACCTAATAACCATCAGTAAATTCTTTTCCTGATTTAACTGACCGAGTAGGTTGATGCTCTTGAAGCTAAGACAAGTAATGAAGTGCTCTGGAAATTGAGTTTCTAGTCCCTGGGAGTGGCATAGACACCAGCAACAGAGAATCAACAACTTGAGATGATTTTCTTGTCTAACTTTTACTCTAGACATTTCCTGGGGGTAAAGTGACCTCACCTAGTTCATCTTCCTATAGAAGAACCACTCTGTAGAGAAAGGTCTCCAGGTGTCTGAGTTGCCAGGTCTTCCAGGATGAAGTTGCTTTTAAATTCAGATGACTGTATCCTTCCCCAGTGAATGGTGGTCTGCAGACAATTGCGTCTATAATCTCCTACTTAATTTTTTTTTTTTTGTGGTGTCAGTTAGGAGGCCTGGGCAATCTATGGGGCCTCTGGATGTGTATCAGTATTTAGCCCTAGTATACGAATGGATTTTGGGAGCCCATTCCTCATAAAGGGATACACTCTCAGACTAGACACACAGGGGAGGGCCTAGGCAGTGACCCAAATGATATGACAGACTTTGAAGATTCTCCCGTGGAAGGCCTAACCCTCTCTGGGGAGTAGAAAGGGGATGGGATAGGGGGTCGGTGGGTGGGCAGGAGAGGAGGGGAAGGAGAGAGAACTGGATTTGATATGTAAAGCAAGCTTATTTCTAATTTAAATTTAAAAAGGGGATTTTTTTTTGTAAAGTACCATTGCTTATTTGTTGTATTTGATTTTGATATTTCCCCAAATAAATCAGGAAAAGGTTGAGGTTAAAGATTTTGTTTTTGTTTCAGTTGGTGGGGGGGGTTGTCATTTGTTTGTTTGTTTGTTTTGAGACAGAGCCTCACTATGGGAACCAGGTTGCCTCAAAAGTAAATCCTCCTGCCTCTGCTTCCAGGTACAGGGATTATAGGACTGTGTCACCACACCATTTGAGCTCATTTGTTTTTATACTAAATAAGACAAAGGGATACACTGATTTTCCCATGAAACAAACATCTCTGGCTTAAGGAAAATATTTTCTGAGGTGGAAACACTAGTTATTGAACACGGCCCAAGCATCCCAATAGAGTGAAGGAGAGAAATGGTCCACTGTGCTTGTCTCTGAGTGAACAAAACCTAGATTCCCACCTTGAGCTGAAAAACAAAATCTGGATAAAATTTTGAAATTTTGCTTTGTGTTTGTTATATGCAAACTACCTTGTCTTTTATTGTTCTTGAGGGTTTCTTACTACAATACAAAATCAAAGTACAG